CCCCACAAAAGAAAATATGAAGGAGATAGACAAACAAGCTCTGACACAAGAATTACACTTCATTGGACAATTCCATCACTAGTTGGCGTTTGCTGGGGTTTCCTGAACAGGAACAAGAACAAGACCATTAAAATGAAGCAGAGATCAGGGAGACAGCTGTCAATGTCAGGACCACCATCACAACCATCTCAGACTGCACACCTACATAAAAACAAGAAACCAGTGAAGAGGGAATAGATAGCCTGAATAGTATTTAAGTGGAGAAAGACTGCAGAAAGCTACAGCACAAAGGAAACAAATGAGAACACTTGGTGGGATGGGGGGAACCACCAGGTGGAGAATACAAGAGCACAGAATACTGAACAGTTTTGGTCTCCTTATTGGAGGAATATACTGGCATTGGAAGCTGTTCAGAGAAGGTTCACCAGGCTGATACAAATATGGAAGTATTTTCTCATGGAGTTGAGTTCACTCGTTAGAATTTAAAGAAGAATGAAGATCTTATTGAAAAATAGAGGAGATTATGAGGGAGATTATCAAGATAGCTGTAGGAAAGTTTATTACCCTTTGGTAATAGACTATTACCAGAGGACAGTCTCAGTAACAAAGAAACAAATTTAGCAAATAGGAGAAGGGGGTAGGCCTTTTATACCTTGGAACCTGCTTTGCCATTCAATATGATTGTAGCTGATCATCCAATTCATTCTTGTTCCTACTTTCCATCTGTAGTATTTAACAGAAGGGAATTAGTGAAATGAGGACAGATTGAAGAAATATGCAATGTCTGATAGACTAGCAGGAATGACAGTCAGAAAGCAGGGGCAGAGATTTCAGGGGGCAATTCATGACCCTCAGTAATAATACGTCCCCATAGAGGGACTCGGATGGGTAAACCAGACTTGACTAACCAAGGAAGTTGAGGGTATCAAGTTGCAGAGAAAACATTTAAAAGGAGATTTTAAAAAAGTGATGCCAGAAAGACTGGGATAAATTCAAAATCTAGCAAAGGAGGACTTAAAACACAAGACAGAAAATAAACTCCAAGGGCAATTTAGTAAGGAATGGAAAAACCTGACAGAAGTTTCTTTAAGTTTACATGTTTAAAAAGAGTATTCAAAATGAACATAGGCCCCATAGAGAAAGAACCTTGCAAGTCAGATACAGGGAGCCAGGGATGGCAGAGGAGTAAAACAGATATTTTGTACCTGTGTTTCTAGTGGAAAGTACTTGCACATTCCACAAATACTAGAGAATGAGAGAGGATTTAAGTCCCATCCACATCACTAAGGTAGTAGTATTGGACAAACTAATGGCTGAATTGTCCCCTGGAACTGCTGACTTGCATCTGGGGATCCTAAAAGGTTTTGCTTCAGAGATGGGGGGATGTGTTGGTGGGGATGGGTTGGTTGAAATGTTTCAAAAAAGTACTCTGGCAAAGCACCAAAAGTTGGAAAGCTATCAATTTGACACAGCTATTGAGAAAGGTGGGGAGGCAATAGGAGAGGCTAGCAAAACTTTTGTGAAGGCAGAGGGGGAACTTGATAGACATCTATTAATTATGAAATGCATAACAGGTTTGGTTCTGAGGAATCTTTCTTCCCTACCACCCCCCTTCTTCCCCCCCTAAAAACAAAGTTGAATTGTCTAATGGGGACATGCATGTGATGAGAGGGGTAAAGTTCAAATGAAATGTGATGTACAAGTCTATTTGCAGAGTGGGAGAAGTCTGGAATGAGCTGTGATGGTACAAAAGGTGCATTTAAGTTTTAGATAAACACATCTGCAATAAGCAGAAGGATTTCAACCAAAGGCAGGCAGAATGGATTGGTTTAATTTGGTGTTTTGGTGCTATAGTCTGTTCTATGTTCAATGGTCTAAAAAAGCAGGTAACCATGGGCTAATTAACCTAACATTGCTGGAAAGTGTTCCAGCATCAATTTAAGCTAGTAATAGCAGAACATTTTCAAAATCATGCTCTAAATCAAAGAGGCAACATACCTTAGTGAAAGTGGAATTTAAGTTTTTGAGGAAGTGTGAACGAGAGTGGGAGTGGACACCAGTAAATGTTATATTTGAATTTCCAGAAGGCTCTTGAAGAGGTAAATCACAAAGAGGTTAAGTCATAAGACTGAGATGGAGAGGAATTTCTTCCCTAACAGGAAGGTGACTTTGGATCTTGCTGCCCAAGAGAGCTATGGGGGCAGAATCCTCATGTATATTTAAGGCTGAGTGGATAGATTGACAAGGGGAATTGTGGGTTATGGGGAAAATATGGGAAAGTAGATGTCAGATCAGCCATGGTCTTACTGAATGGTGGAGCAAGATTGAGGGGCCAAATGACTTACTCCTGTTTCTATTTCTTATGGTCTGATGAGAAATTATTCTAACTCTGCCAATCTGTCTCCTTAACCTGTGATTCCCATTTCTGGACTCCATGTATTTGGGAATATCCTTCCTGCATTTACCCTGCCTGGTCCTGTTAGACTATTGCAGGTTTCTGAGATTCCCCTTTATTCTAAGCTATCCACATCACTGGAAAAGTCACATGACACCAGGTTATAGTCCAACAAGACTGGAATCCAACAATTTGAGCACTGCTCCTTTGTCAGGTGAAACAGTTGAAAGTCCAGCACCACAAAAGCTGGAGATTTGAAAGTAGTGTGTTGGACTATAACCTGGTGCCATTTAACCTCCAACTTTGCCCAACCCACTCCAACACTGGCTCCTCAGCACCAGTTAATTTAGTTCTAACTGGTTCAATCTCTTCATTCTCAACTCTGCCAACCCAGGAATCTGTCCAGTAAATCTTTGCTGCATTCCCTCCATAGGGAGAACATCCTTCCTCAGGAAAGGAGACAATACCTGTGCACAATACTCCAGGTGTGGCCACTCAGGCCCTGTATATTTGCAGCAAGGCATCCCGACTACCCTTGAATCCTCTCCCCTTAGGAGAACATACTATTTATCTTCAACTGCTGCACCTTCATGCACACTTTCAGTAAGTGGTGTACATGGATACCCAGGATTCATTGAACCTCCCCCTTTTCTCCATTCTATTACTATTCAGATAGAAACCTGCCTTCTGTTTTGTTTTGCTTCCAGAATGGATAACCTCACTTTTATCCACTGAGTAAATACATGGCAAAGGCACTCATTCAACTTGTATAAATCACACCAAAGCACCTTGTTATCCTCCTCAACAGTTCACCTTGTGTAATTGTACCTGGTTTGGGAGTGGTTAATGGGGAAAGAGTCAAGGGAGCACTCAGTTTAAAAAGAACATTACACCATATCTAACACATGCAGTACCTGCTCTTGGAACAGTTGTCTGGACAATGCACAGGGAAACTTTACTGTACCCAACTTTGTACTGTGCATTGCCTGGGAATGCTTGAATGAGACATTGCAGATTGAGCTCTATTCTATGCTGGGAAGAAAAAAGGTAGCTTTACATTCAGATTAAAGTGGAGGTATGTTTACTCTGGCTAACCCAGCACTGTCCCTGTCCCAGCAGTTGTTCATCTTAGTCTGGTTCCAATTGGAGAATGGAGACATCTTCAACACTCAGTCTATTCTCCTGCCAGGCCCACTCCAAGCTTATTTTGCCTTCTCCTTGCACCCATTCTCCCTTCACCTTGTGGTCACTAAACAGCTGACCACACAACTTTGCTTCTTGGCTTCCATGTTCATTGATATTTCCCTCAAATTAGGTATTGCTCTGTGATGTCCCCAACACCATCAAATCTGAACCTTCACCCCTGACCCTAATAACTCTTTCCACAGTCCATGGAATCTAATGGCTATCTTTCCTGGAATTTGAAGCACTAAATCAGGTTTGTAACCCTGAATCACTAACTCCACAACTGCCCTCAAACAGAAACACTTCCTTACCACATGCCCTGACCACACCCAGCTCTCCTCTCAGGGATCAGGCTGTGCAGCTGATATCCTGGACTGAGAACAGCATGATTGAGATGACTGCAGAACTTGGTTTTCGGTCCCTTCAGTAAAGCTTTTCCCAACCAACAAAGTCATGCCTCCACAATGAGAATGTAACAGTGACAAAACCCACCAAATGTCAAAACCCTTTGGAAGAGGGAGTAGAGTGGAATCAGGGTGGTTAGGTCAGCTATATTAAACAGCATGGCTTTTTCGCCATTGATTAACTGGATAATTAAGGAATACTTGAGCTATAAAGTAGCACCCCATGATATGGCTACAGTGACACATGACAAGGCTGTCATCATTCCATTTAACAACAATCCTCAAAGTGTAAGACATTCAGATGCATTTGGCCAGAAGGCTTTTTCACAGATGCACCTACTGGTCTGAAGAGCAGAGATATCTTTGTTCTCAACTACACATTACATTATCATAATCATGAGAATGAACTGACCTCAGCATTTCCTACCAAAGTTTGGATCATTCATTTCACTGAATTCCAACTCAACTACACCCTATACCACGAGGAGCATCACAGACAGTTCCAGATGAGCACCAGCAGTAGAAATGTGGCATAGTAACCAAGACTTCACATCACCCACCACCCCTGCCCTATGACCTCAACATCAGGGTGGAAACAAGTAAAAGCAAACATGAGCAGGTCATGCTCTCCAGATTGAGAGAGATCAGGCCTCACAGCAAACTGACAGTCAACCAAGTGTTTCACAATTAAACAGATTTGTGTTCCTTGTGCAATTAAGGGAAAACATGACATGTTCTCAAATTCGTTACCAAGGGCACATCAGTCACAATAGTTACACCAGCTTCCCCAAAATACTGAACTGGCCCAAGTAAGTGGTTTATAGTTGCAGTTTGATATAAACCTTTCAAACTCAGGAAGCAAAACGCAAAGGTGACAGAAAACTCCATCTCCAGGATGGTGGAAGGGAAACAATTGTGGGAGGCAACCCAATGAAGCCAAATTAAGAACAGAAATCCTCTACTGACCAATGCTTGTTAAATTCCATGAAGATGGAAAGACAAAAATGAGGTCCCAATAGAGATTCAAAGAATCACTGCTTTAATGGTCATTTCATCAATTGAATGAGTTGGCTTGTGTTTCCGGCACAGGAACAAGGCCAATGAAGCAGAGATCAGGGAGACAACTGTCACTGTCAGGGCCACCATCACAACCAGCTCAGACTGCACACCT